GAGAGAGAGAGAGAGAGAGAAAGTATGTGTGTTTGTCCTAATAATCTGTATGTTCTTATACGTATGTATTGATGTTTTCACAGTTATTGTTTGTACAAGTATGTAATTGGAATTATTTAAAAACCCTAGACCTGTGTGCACATGAAAGTGCGCTATGAAAAAAAGTCTACAATATTGTTTCTGCTTTTAAATTGATGAGATCAATAATATCTAGAGAGATTTTCTTTTGGTCAGAACACGCTTTATATTGCTGTTGTATTGTATTGTAAAGAGCTCCAGACGAGAGCCCGTGGACTTTAATCGGGGTCGAGCGATATTTAAATGTCATTTATTACTACATGTATTATTATAATGATTTCATTTTGTGTTGTTGGAATGTGGTAATAAAAGTTGTGAAAATATATCATGACATCCGTTCATTTGGATCTGAATAAAACGCATAGGCCTACCTACCTACCTGCCTACCTACCTATCTACCTACATACCTACCTATCTACCTACCTACCTACCTACCTACCTACCTACCTACCTACCTACCTACCTCATAGTACGTCTCACTTTCTTGTGTTGAAAAGGCGTCATGCCTGTGGTATGTTTTGGTGAAAATTCTATCCTCACAATGTTCTCACTTAGTAGCCTCTTTTTTAGGTTTATTATAGTTAGGCGTAATCGACTGATACCACCAACACGGTAGCCAACATAATAAAATATCTTTTATTATATTGTCAACAGTTCTTAAGGTGAAGCAATCCTCTAAAAAACACTCTGACAAACCCAAAAACTGTAACCTAATTAAAGGTGACACAGGAGGCAAGCCTTCAACTTCAAGTCATTGAGGAACACGGGATATCGGTAACATTGACGCAACAACTGGCAATGTAAACATCAAGCTCATTTCCTATACACCGCATTCCGTTCTTTAATATCACTCCTACTCGCAAGGAAACAGTGGTCTTGTTTGTGTGAAGCAGAAAGTCAAGAGAACAAAGACGCCTGCAGCTAGATCTACACTTATTGTACTTTCCAACCGTGGCGATACCGTATAGGTCCACTATAATTGGCAGAATAAATAGAAAACATAATACTCCTCATTCCGTTCTTTCTTAATTTTAAAAAAAATTAAGATGAAGCAGCAAAAAGACACCAAGCTACTCTCAACATTCTTGGATTTGCAACAACCATTAGGTTTTTTAAAACGCTGTAGTAGACCTACCTCATTCATTCCATTCTTTTCTAACTTTATTCGTAGATTTAAATGACACTAGGGGCCTACAGCTTTTTCAGTGCTTTCGTTAATTGCGTTTCTTATTAAGAAAGAAAAAAGAAAGAAAGAAAGAAAGAAAGAAAGAAAGAAAGAAAGAAAGAAAGAAAGAAAGAAGAAACTTGTGTTCAAGAAAACAATAATTGAGCCAGTTGACATAGATCTATTACTTTGAAATTCGTTTTCCTTTCCTTAGTTTAATCGCAAGTGAAAATGCTAAGCCATCAATAATGAAGACCATCGTTTGTTCTTGCTCGTATATTATTAAATTATAGATATCAATAGGGCCTACAGTCTCGGAGCATGAAAACATTCCTTTCCTTAGACCAATCACGACTGACAATATCAAGGTTCTTTTGGAAATGTCTCCGGTTAGGAAAACAGCAGCTTTCTGATGGAGCTTTTTTTTAATGAGGATACTCCGCCTTGTAAGAAATTAGTACGTCTTCATCTTTTCAGTTGATAAGTAATGGTGTGTTATCATAACGATATAGATGCCGGTTACCCATTCACTCGACTGACTAAAGATGTAGTTGTCAGTGTGCAGCAATTGGCCAAAAAAACAAAACACACACAATCTAGTATCAACTTCATTCAGCCTGCAAACAGCCAACTTTTCCCTTTAGCCTATAAATAATATACGCTTAAGCATATTTGTGTAGCTTCTATGAGAAGGCCCTTTTAGTTTTTAGAGTGTGTATGCTAAGTATGCATGTACGTGTGTCTCTACATGTATGTGGGGGGGGGGGGGGGGTAGTACGTGTGTGTTTGTGTGTTTGCGTATGCCTGTTGTGTGCACGTTTGTGTGAGTGTGTGTGTGTGGGGGGGGGGGGGGGTCACGGTACTACTTTGAGTTTTTTCGGGTGTGCGCATTAGTATGAGTATGTGTATTTGAATCGGCATCAAATTTAAGTTTAAGCCTGTCGATTGAACAAAAAAGGATTTTGTAAACCATTCATTGTTGACCCCAAACAAGGGATAGTCTTAAAAACAAGTCGTGTCATAGTTGATATTAAATTCCTTCCTCGCGTTTATCATTGTGTTTTGTGTTTGTTCATAAAGATTTAACTTTCCTGGTAGTGGTGATTAAACTTGCTAAGCGATTATTCACCCGAGTGTTCTAATAAAGTTCTAGCCTACACGTATAGGCATTTAGATTCTATATGGAATGCGTTTCCAGATTTAGCTTTCGTGACACAAGAAAAACATTTAGATATGGTTGGTCTACTATACTTCGTGAATAAAGTGCACTATTTGGTAGCCTGGAGATCAATCTTCGAAAATCCTTGGTTGTTCTCTCTTTTCTCCTTTAACTGGTTAGGTACTAGGTGGGCAAATTAAGAGACTCATATATAAGTCTTAAGGCAGTGGCATTGTTAAATACTTTGCTGAAGCCAATGAACGTTAAGAATAGCTCCATGGCTGGTTCATTTATTTTTCACTCAACATCTGAAATATAAGCAGCTCATCGCTTGCTATATTATGCTGTTGCTTCTAAAGAAGAACCCATGGTAGCCTGCTGACTGCTGATATTCTTTCTATTTTGCATGATTTGAGCGGAAGGCCTATTCGCAAGTATGAGAGCGATCAGAGTCTTGCTGGTATGATTTAGGCCTAGGAGCCTAAAGGTCCTATAATTTTCACATGCGCTTGTGCTACCGCTCATATGAAAAAACACACCCAAAAAAATTAATTAATAAATAAAAGATGTTTCATTTTCCTGGGGTTGCCGGTAGACCTCTTCCTTAAGCTAGACGATAGTTTGATTTGCTATTTTTTCTCAACCATGCCATCTTTTTGAAATGTCATATGAAATTATAAGAATATACGGGCAAATTCTACGAAACGAAGAATATTGCGGAATGGCTGCTGCTGCATGTATCATGAAATCTAATTTCTGAGTTTTTACAAAGGACTGGGAATATTTTGTGAGATTTACTTTTATTAACAACCAACGATTATCATGATTATGAGAAGGTAACCTGCGGGTGAAACGTAATTTGAAGGTACCCAGGTAGGTCTATATATACGCGATTAACAAGTTAAACAAGGCGTTTGTTTGTTGGCCTACCAGCAAAGGTCGAAGTAATGAAAATTGAATTTGATACTGAAGTAAAAGCGAAAGTAGATCTAGATCTAGATTCTAGATCTAGAATCTAGATTTATCTAGAAGTTGATCTGCATATATATATCTAGATCTAGAAATAATTTCTAGATCTAGATCTAGTAGTGGAAGTTCTACTAAAATGAAAGCTTTAAAACTAAAAATAGGATAGTGTTTATTACAGATACTATGAAGTATAGTGATCTAAAATTAGATCTATATTATATACTTTAGCAGGTTAAATTCCCAAAGTCTACTAGATCTAATCCCCGACTCAGACCTTCAAAACTTTGAACTGGGGCTAAAAATGTGCTAACCACTGTAATTTTGTCATGAACAGATGGTATAACAGTGGTTTTCGGTCTTCCATTGTGATTTTGGAAGGAAGAAGCTAGCCGTACTTAATGACGGCTAGACTGGCAGTCTAGCCGTACTTTTATTCTTAATATGATGGCTAGACTGATCATTTTAAAAAAATAGGCCTACTGAATTGTAAATATAAATTTTTAGTGTGTAGTACCTCCTAAAGTATTTGTATTTGAGACGAAACCAGGTGCCTTAATGACAGTGCATGTATTTAAAACCTCCTGTTTTCTAATGTCAGTAGGGCCTCTAAGATAAGTACTGTTAGGCCAGTCTAGCCGTAGTAACGGCTAGACTTCTTGGCTTGCTGTACTTAAGTACATGTAGACAGCCAGGCTAGCCGTACGTAAGGACGGCTAGACTGTACTTAATATTGATGGCTGAATTGTAAATGAAATTTTTAGTTTACAATGCCTAAAGTATTTGTATTTCAGACAAAACCAAAAGGTGCCTTACTGACTTGCATGTATTTGAACCTGAATAATTACTAGATCTAGATCTAATGAGACCTGTGTACTTAACAGGCTTGAGTCGATAGGGCCAAATGTAGATCTAAGTTCGGCTAGACTGCCAGTGAGTATTATATAATCTTGATTAGATAGATCATGTTTTAAAGTGGTCGCTCGTTACGGAAAAGGGAATAAAATCAATTGAAGAATTTAACGTGCTATGGTATAAGATCACCACTATTATAGATCCACCCTACGGTAAGATACTGCAGCTGCCTCTTTTCCTCTCTAAAAAGAACGTGCCAGTGGCGTAAAATATGCCACGCCCCCAGCAAGCGTGTGACTGAGCCCTGATGGCTTGGACTAGGGCTTGTTGAATAGAGTAGAGTATGAGAGCATCCTAGTTAATCCTACTCTAAGAACCATTTTAATCTACATCTAAATAATTTATAATTATGTCTATCTAATAAACTAAAGTATTGATCAACATATTCCACTCATTTATCAAGATCTAACATTATAAAAAGAAAAACATTAGGTTTAAAAATAGTCTCACTTTGGTAACGAGTGATAAGATCCGAGGATAGTGTAGCGGTACCGGGTGCATAGGCTCACGATCTCTACTAAATCCTGATCTAGGCCTAGACATTGACTATCATGAAATCTAGGCCGAAAATCTATCCAATGCAATATTAATATTATTGATAGTATTGATGAGATAGTATTGATAACAGGATCTCTTGGAGTTGAGTATGCATTATTAGAAATAAAAAAATAGTGTCAATTAGTATTAGATACACACCAGAGAACGCTGCAACAGAAGAGAGAAAGAGAGAGGCGGGGAGGAGAGAGAAATATGCTATTACTCTTAAAACGACAAACATGCACACAGAGTGATAGATGAGTGGGTGACTGAGTGAGTGAGTGAGAGAGAGAGAGAATACAAAGAATACAACATATATACATGTCTTATTGACTCGATTTCAAACTAACCAGTTTTTCTTTTGTCAGTTGCTCTCTCTTTTCTAACGGCTCACGCTCTCCTATCCCTGACAATCGAGTGAAAGTTTGCCACACACATTCCCCAGTGACACAGTCACCTATGCACCCATTGGACCTTTGTTCGGTGATTTCAGTTTTCCTCGACTACACGGCCATATATCCAGCTCATAGACGGAATAAAATAATATATATTATAATATGCTTGAGGTGCTGTGTGTGCCCCTGAGATTTAAGAGATATAAATCAAGTTGAACCACTTTTAAGGCAACTTTTTATTCGGATGAAAATTAGTTAGAAAAAATTTGGGGGTGAAACAGTTTCGTCCCCGCCGTCCAGAAGAATTTTAGAATAAAGAGATGGAAAACAAAGTTCTCCTCGTTTGATGAATGGTTCTCAAAATGCCGTTGCTCACCGTGAGTATAGAAAAATCGTCACTGTTGAGCTCTTATAAATTGCTTGCTTTTGGGTAGTAAAGAAGTGGAAGCAGCCTTAGTCCCACCCAAATCTTGGTCAGCCCACCACCACTGGATGGTTGTGGTGGTGGTTGTTGTGGTATGAAGATGATTTGATGATGATGTGATGGTGGCAGTGATGATGATAAAATGTGCAGAAGCTGTCAGGACATAATGGTACACGTATTGATTGCTTTTAGTGTTGTGAATGTTACTTGATTAAATAAAATGTGTGTGTGTGTGCGTGCGTGTATGCATGCGTACATGTGTGGTGAGAGAGAATTGAATTGAATTTGACTTTATTGACTTTTGAGACCAATGGCCCATACATCATAACAAGTTACAAATTAAATGCAAAATACTGGTCAATCTCTCTGTGTTGTTCTAAAGAACAAATTACATAATTACATACACCACAGAAAACATATAGATATAAAACATATCACATCTAGTATAATCTAGATTTACACCTAATGGAATGGACCCACACACGACAAAGTACAGCATTGGTCATAGTCATGGATGCATTATGATGCAGGTTGTAAACAAAGCTTACAGGCTGGACTCTGATCTCTCTAGTTTAGCTCTAATCTAGACTCTAGATTAAAAATTCAATTTCACATTGTCTTGCATGCTGGCCACTTGGTGGCGTTGGGGGGTCGATGTGCCTCACAAAATTGGGCCAGCGCAACATCTTACCATAGGCTATACTGTCTTAATATAATTACTACTGTTATTATATGTTAGATATACTGGTGAGTGTGCTACCAATGGTGCTTGTTACATAGATCTAATCATGATGATAATTCCCCTGTAATCTGAGTGATAGAAGGAAAAGAAAAAAATGAAATCTGTGTATCTTTTACAAGTCTACAATTTCACTAGTACAGTAGTCTCAATAGATCTAGATAGTTTAAAATAAATTGTCTTTCTGATTGTAAATTTTTTTTATCATGAAAATCATGATGTTGTAAGATCTTTTTGTGGTCTAGATCTAAGTCAGAACAGGTAATTAGCTACTTTTATATATATATAATGCTTTCAGCCCTGTCTTTTTGTCTTTTCAGCTGTTCTACTGGCTCCAATGTATTCCCCAATAACTGCACTAGTTCGGCGCCAGCTAAATTTCAACGAACTGTCTCTATGTCTTTCTGTGTGTCGAAAATATGCTTCCAAAAGTAAATATTCCTACAGAAAACTGATAGAATCGACTCCGCCGTCTCGGCAAACGTACAGGTATGGTATTGTATTTTGGGTCGTTTGCATTCGTAATCTTAGCGTTCAACAGCTCTGTTTTTACAATGAACAATGAATATTCAGAGGAATCCGCTTAAACTGAAATCTGGGGAACTGCTGGAATTATTTTTGTTTAGAGAGTTGGTCATATACAAAACAAAAAAAACATTAGGAATTTTATTTGCTTTCGGTTTTCTGCTCCTAAAAACTTTTGTATTGACCATATTCAGTTCTAGAAAGCTCTACTGAATATGAATGAGCTTTCAGCCTGGCTTGTCACGAGACGGTAAAGCCCCTCCTGATGACTAAGTTTCGATGCAGAAGTTCACCCTGTAAAGACTTCTCTGTTGACATCCACCCCTTGGCGCTCATATGACCTTATGCAGTTGCGAGCGCCGTAAAACCCTCTACTATAAAAAAAAAAAGAAAGAAGTAGCTGTTTGTGTCTTCTTCTATGAGGAGATAGACTTCAAAGGATGTACACCATACAATAAGCATTATAATAAAAGACAAGTGTTTTGATTTTAGTGGTTTATTTGCTGATATTTAAAAGCATTTTTTAATTTTGATAAATATGCTTTTAAGAAAGTGGTAATTGTGTTTATAGTTTTGAAAGAAAGTTCTATTTCTCATAGATTTACATAGATTTAAAAAAAGTAAAATTGCATCATTCTTTGTAATAGGAAAATTTAGAGTGTTATTTCATACTTTCCTTTTTCAGCCATATCGACATAAGACCATATAATGTGGCAAAAGAACTTCATATCATGTACTCATTATATTATTATTTGTTGTTACTGATTACAGTGTTTCTCTCCTTTTTTTTGTTTTGTTTTTTTGAAAAAAACACTTACCCAAAATTCTGTATTAAAATTTCAGCTGCATTCGTGGGCTGCATGTGAGTTTAAGGCCCAGTCAGAAGGAGGTACCATCTCAGAAAAATGAACTTCAAGAGCAGAAACAAGAACCTGAACTTGTAGCAAAAGAGGCAAAAGATTTGGAAGTTAAGCTCCGTGTTCCTGCTCCGCGGTCACAACAAGAGGTAATGCCAGGTTTAGTAAAAGAAGATAAGAGGTTTATTCCACCTCTGTTTTCTGGATGTATCGGTTAGGGCAGAAAGTCAGAATGGACTGTGTACGCTCATTAATTGGTAGTCTGTATTATTGAACTTAAACCTTGTGGGTGGTTGGCGAGTGCTTTGATGTGGTTTGCTTCTTTTTTCCTATCAATCATCTATCGTCTTTATCTCCCTTCCTTCTTTTTTATGTTTGTTACTCTCTTGTAACACCTCTAATCTTCGGCACTTATATGACCTTATTGTGTTGCAAGTGCCGTAAAACACTAAAACTAAAAAAACTTAAACCATTGCCTAATAAGATTCCTTAAACAATTAATCGAGAATTCTGTAATGGATCTGATGTTTCGTTTTGATTTCTTTGATTTAGACCCAAATTATATGTGCAGACTTTGTTTTTATCGGTATTTTCTCATTATATTTGATGTTGATGATACAGCAATGAAAGTTATTTATAACGAAATCGTAGTTTAAATGAAAGCAGTACAATAAGAAGATGTGTTACTAGATCAAACATTGATTGCATCGTGTATACATTTACTGTTGGTACTGGTCTTTTTCTTCCCATCACACCCTCGAAATGCTATTGTTTTGTAAATGTCACTATATGATTCAAAAATTGAAGTCTCTAATTGCTCATTCAAGCTAAAGTTTTCACGCAAATGAAAAAGGAGTACCAAAAATGTCAAACCAGATTCGATTTCATGTCAAAGTATATTTTAAGGATTTTTATTATTGTGATGTGAATTTAGCTTTGCATAAATTGAACTTGTGGAATGGCACAGAATAATGCATATAAACGTGTATGGACAAAAAGTATTCTTATTTTTTCATCCCTTACCTTTTCTTTGTGAAAGGGCAGATAGTTTTTATTATGTTTTTGGCAGATATAAATTTGTGACTTGGGGATCAGGAAAGGAAAACAGAGCTCAGCACTTCAATATTTCTCAAACATTGTACTGGTTTGACTGCAGTGTCAGGCCCGACTGCCCTATCTTTGAACCAGTGTGCTGGGTCCTTGTGGAACGAGCAGTGAAGTGTGGCAACAAAGTGAAATAGAGTACTGTGTGAGAGAGTTCGTTCCTCCTTTTCTGATGGAGCTACCCTATGCAGATCTAAGATAGAAAGGGGGGTTACTGCAACAAGTGCAGGATCTGGATTAGATGAGTTAGGCTTAAATTAAATCTACTTTTATTTTTGCTGTCTTTTTGTGACTTAAATTAAATCTACTTTTATTTCTGCTGTCTTTTTGTGGCTTAAATTAAATCTACTTTTATTTTTGCTGTCTTTTTGTGACTTGTATGGCGCAACTACTAAGGATAAAATAGCAAAAGTGTGTTATTTATACTGCTAATACTAATATATAAAACAACTAACTTAAATATATATATATATATATATATATATAGTTATCCAAGAGTTGATCCTCGTGGTCTTCCCTGCTTTCCTCTTTCTAATAACAATTTTTTTTTTTTTTTTAATTTTCTGGACAACATAGGAGTGGAAAAGCAGCATACCTGACCATGACCCTGGACGAATCACAGGAGTCGGTGAGAAGTTGGAACGCAAGGCACTCTCTATCTTTGATGATGAAGCCAATACCAGGTACCGTTGTTGTTTTGGATGTCAGTTTTTATCAGCTGCTGGTCAGGGTAAAGCTTACTGCATCAACTCTAGACTAGCTTTGAGATGGCTTTATTCCTGGACCAGCTCAAGTGGTGGTTTTGGAAATGTGAATGGGAATAAATGACTAAATTACTTATAGTAACGCCGCACCTTGATGATTGTGTATGGGTGTGTTTGTTTGGGCGATGTATATCAATGTCATTGAATGTTGTCACTTGCATTCTCATTTCGTATACCCATGGGTCTGTAAGGCTTGATGGTTAATGTATATGTGATTTGATGGCCATAGGCTATGATCAGACTGTCATGTTGTATGCAGAGGCCTAGGAGAGTGCCAGAGAGACAACTAGGCACTACTTTTTTTTTCCGCACTACTTTTCCTTTTGCAGTCAAAGGGCGAGAGTACTTCGGTGATCTTAAGTGATCATCCTTCCTCCAATTCAAGAGCTTGATTTCACTGGGCACTAGCTAGATGTATCTCTTTAGTTGAAAGGACAGCCCTGTGATGTTACACCCAAGTAACTCTTCTAATCTTCAGCATTTGTATGACCCAATTATGTTGCAGGTGCCATAAAACTCTTACTAAAACTTTTTTTTTAAAAGCTTTTAAGAAATGTGAGTACTGTCAGTGAAGATAAGGTTAATACATAATTACTTTCTCCTTTTTTTGTACTTTCTTCATTTAGCACTGTATTTAAATTTAATTTAATCTTGTTTACCATCAATCTGTTTTAGGGGTCGGAATAAAGAGGCATTTCTCGTGGCTGTGTCAAAATACATCTCCAAAGAGACCTTATACAGGAGAGGGGCTGTGGAATTTGTGTACGCCGGTCTGCAAGAGATGAAAACTTTTGGTGTTGTCCGAGACCTGGCCTCTTATAAGGCTTTGCTGCAGGTTTGGCTTTAAATTATAAGATGTTACTAAAGTTCTTTTCATTGTCATATAATATGCATATTAACATTCCTTGCTATTGCATCTATAAAAATAGAAAGAAGTGTTTTCATATGTGAGGTGTGCTGAGAAAATGAGATACTTCTAGCAATCCACAAATGGAGATTCAGGCCTGAAATAGACCCATAAAATTTGCAGATGCCATTTTCTCCAAGTTAAACATATTTCTTATCATTTCACATAATAGATTGCACAAACCAAAAATATAATAAATTTGACATGTATATCTGTGTCCATAGGGCTGAAATTGGAACATTAATTCATTTTGTCAATAAGTATCACATATTATTGTGAACTCGGATGGGCAGAATCACACATGTTAATTTTTTGTGTTGATAGCTGTAAATAAGAAATGAGGCAATATTTCCCTGGGGCTTGTCTTTACCGGTAAAATTTTCAGTGTGCCTGTCATCTTAAGAATTCTCTACTTTATTGCAAGCCAGTTTATTGCAGTTTTAAAAAACTGGGGACCTGATACAGTTCCTACATTTAATTTTTTCTTATATTTTCACTTTGATGCATGTGATGGGAAACCATCAACCATCTTTTTTAGAAACTTTGGCTTTTTTGCAATGGAGCATTGTTTGAAGGGAAATAACTTACTGTCTTTCGAAGAAACATCCTCCTTTTTATCATTTTTATTATTTTTGCTCCCTGACAATGTGTCAAAGGAAATAAACGTAAATCTTGTGAGGAAGCACTCTTTCTTTTGTATGTGTTTTTTTTTCGACACAGGCTTTTCCAAAAGGCAAGATGATCCCTCGCAATGCATGGCAAGTTGAGTTCATGCATTACCCCCGACAACAACAGTGTGCCATTGACATGTTGGAACAGATGGAAGTTAATGGTAGGTTAATGTTTGTTTTGTGGAAACAGAAAGAAAAAGCTTAACTTGTCTCTTTTCTTTGTTTTAGCTATCCAATGTAGTTTGAGACTTAATTTTTTTTTTCTGATTCAAAAATAGTGTCTTCACATCATAAAAATAATTTTTAAAATGTTATGTTCCGTTGTCACAACTTTGTCCATCCACTAGTGCAAATCTTTAGACTCTTTTGACTCTGGCCTTTTTTTCCAAAGCACAATTTCTAAACACTGATTAGCATCTAAAAGTTTTACAAGACTCTTCAAAACAAGTTTGTATTCATTGGGGCATCAGGAATGTTATTCAACAGGGGCTCTGTTATTAGATTTATAGATAAGTAGGTAGCGTAAACACGGCCTCGCGGGCACTCGCGGCCTTCCGACCGCGTGGTATCAGGGTAATTCCGATCGCTGTTTCTTTGCTCTTTCGCTATAAAACACCAAACGCCGTACATCTTGTAAAAGTTCAGCTTTTCCTCGTTACAATGGTGTAGGTTGTTTATATGTTCGATTATTAGGAGCTGGAGAATCGCTGACGAAAGCAAAGCCCCTCGCGGTCGGAATGCGTGGTCGGCCGGCTCAAAAATTGACACGCGTGCATTCAAATGCTTCACAGAACGAGCGATGATTAAATACCGTCTTTTCATTGGCGGAGAACTGTAGAGCTCTAAACGGGGTTTTCCGTGGTATATATTTGGCCTTTGGCGTTTAAATAGAAAGCTTTTAAAAATGCTGTCAAAATGTTTAAAGATCACTTTTTTAACAAAATATGTAAAATACTGGCTTGAAAAAAGTATTAATGGAAAGATCAGTTTATTTTCTATTAGAATAAAGTAATCAACTTGGAATTCTTTTACATCAATCCTTCCGCGAGACTCTGAAAGCATGTGACCCCTGCACGCGGGGTACACTACAGTAAAGAGCTGACTCGCTCGCCGCGGGGGTTCGGAGCGGCGCCGAGCGGGTCAACCAACGCTCTGTATTTTTGTCGAAATAACGACAGATCATCGTGTTTGAAGTGATAAAATACTGATTTGTAATGATCTCACAGTCTTGAAAAAAATTAGGCTCCATATATTTGTTATAGTGTGTGTACTCTGTTAATGTGGAGATGTTTAGTGCGCTTGGTACTCTTTTATTGTCTGTCAAACATGGGGTTGCGGCCAGTGACTGACTTTATCAAATTTGATCAAATTTGAAACAACTACAATTTTCTTAAAAATTGACTGAGAGGTTAAAGAATGGTACCAAAATGTTCAGTGGATATAGGCCTTTCAAATGGAACAGATAAATCTGGCATACAGCTACTTTAAAAATTTAGTTTCTGGTACCCAAGATAAGGTAGACTTTCCTAATGTAAGTGGGGTCCTGGATTAAGTGAATTAAGCTGGCTTGACAATAATAATTGTTGTAATAGGCGCTGTTCTGTTATGACTATATTTGAGCTATGATTGTTCCCATTTTACTTTCTGTGGCGTTACACATGTTGCAAATTAGGCCTATGATGAATGAAAGGAAATGTCAGTTGCATTGAGTAGAAATAAAGGATTGATGTTCTGCGCTTTGTTATGTTGTTGCATGTCTCTTCAGATGTTGCATATAAGAAACATACTTTAGTCATGATAAATTTTTAACCTGATCATCTACAGATGCCAGAAGACCATAGGCAATTTATGATGGAAGTCATGGCCAGTCTCAGTTGAAAGAGAAAAATTTGATAGTCAAAAATTGTTAAGCCCACAGGTTGTTTTTTTTTATTCCACTTTTGCAGCTGTAATTCCCGATGATGAGTTTGGTGTGTTGCTGAAGGATCGTTTTGGAAATGAGGCTCATGCCACTCGGAAGTACAGACGCATCATGTACTGGCTGCCAAAGTTCAAGAATATGAACCCTTATCCTGTGCCTTTTGACCTGCCAGAGAATGATGAAGAACTGGCACTGATAGCACTACGCAGAATGTGTGTCGATAAAGAGACTCGTTATACAGTTTGGAAGGTAAGGTATTTTTTCTGCATGTTTAATTTTGAAAGATTCAGTACTGCTTAAAACTGAATGCTTGTTTGACATTATACAGGGTTCCCGCTGCCTCCTTGAATTCAAGGAGTCCTTGAAAACTGCTTGAATTTACATTCAAGGAAAAAATCTCCTTGAAAACTCCTTGAATTTGCATTCAAGGAAAAATCTCCTTGAAAACTCCTTGAATTTTGCCAGATCGGACAGGAACACAGGGTGACTGCCAGGCCCCAGGAACTGGAATTGCCCAGGAATTTGAAAAAAATCGCAGAGACCCGGAATGCAACGGGAATTTGAAGAAGTCTGTAAATTGCCCCGTGAAAAACACGGGAAAGTACATAAAAGTTCTTGAATATTTGAAATCCAAATCCGATAACGTACTTGTGTTCATTTTTGCCGGTCGCGATTGTGATATAATATTCTTTCGGTCTTTCCCGGCTTGAGAGTACGTTACACGCGCACAAGCGGTTATGGCGGCAACAAGTGGAAGTGTTATGTGTGATACTGAAGCTCGATCGGGAAAATCAAGATCTACTTACGCTTTCGTTACCACCCAGAAATTTGCTGGTGGGGCCTATAGTAGTCTGATAACCCACATTTGTTCTGCATTACAAACGCTGTGTCGCCATGAAAATAAATCGTTTGTCCTGTGCTGTCACTTGTAAAAAAAAAAAAAAAGAAAGAAAAAGAAAGTTATACAAGCTTCTTGTCGGGCTCGCCATCGTAACCGGTCTTTGAACCTGTGCGTTTTCGTCACATCGTGAATATCGGCGATGGTTGAGGTCACCAAAGTTCATTCAAAGTCTGAGCGCTGCGAAGTATAGGACTCCGGAATGGGGGGATTATTGATTTTTTTTTTAAGACGCACGCGGGGGAGGGGCGGGGGTGGGGTTGAAGGCAACGCCGGATTATAAAAACTGAACTTTGAAGCAGATTTTACTTTTCAGAATTTTGATTACTACTAGATCTAGATCTCTAGAGGTCTCTGCTAAGCGCACATTGGTGCAGTTCTTGTTTGGAATCTGGATTTGTCACACTCAAACCTTGTAAGCCGTGTTTTTTTAACTAGCCGTGTTTTTTCACTAAAGGGTTCCCGTTTCATTGGGTAGGTGATAGTAAATTATATGAATAGTATATTCTATATTTTAGCTTTCTGTTCAAGATTCGCAGATTTTCAGTTTCACTGCAATCTTGCCATCCCACAGTTCTTACACCTCTCAATCTGAATAGGTCTACTTGAGCCATTCATGTTATTACTCTACTGTGAGTTAGAGCAAACTTGACACCCAAACTGGTTCTTGGCAGTGGATATTCTGGTTCTAGGCCTTTTCTTAGGCTCAAAGCAAGATTAATTTTTTTTAATAGTTTATTTAGGCGAATATGATGAGGGGAAAATGTAATAAATAAGTAAGAACAGACTGAAATACCTAAGTCACACAGTATCCCAGTGCCGCACTGACATGTTGTTGACTGGATATAATGTACCTACATACGTGAGTGCGCACGTGTGTGTGTATATATATTATATAATATATAAACGGAGCATGCACTGTCACTGTTATGTAACATGCCCCTGGAGAATGGATGAGCCCTCCCCCCTGGAAAATTGAGAAGCCGGGTTGGCAGTCACTCTGGGAACAGTTTTTGTAGGAAAATCGAAACAATGATAATTATGATTCCTTTCGGACAAGTGTAGGCCTATCGAAAATAGGCTTTCGTCTTGAATTTCTTGCCCAAATCTCCTTGACTTAAAAAAATTTCTCCTTGAAACCTCCTTGAATTTGGTGGGAAGTTCATGGCAGGAACCCTGATTATACATACATACATATATATATATATATGAATATATATAGATCACTAGGAATCAAGTCTGAACCTATTTACCAATTATTTCCAACCACTCCAGATCCTAGCCAGTTTGTTGTTTACTTCTGACGCCTCTGTCAATGTTGACCAGACCCTATATGTAGCTACTCAACAGCTGTAAGTATCACAACATGATGCTGAGCTGCTGGGTCGATACTTAAATGTGGTCGCTAGTTCTTGCTTTTGATATTCTTTAAAAAATACAGGCCACAAATGAAACTCACTGACACCCTTTAAATTTCTTTTGTTGGTGAAAGCGGAGATGACTAGTGAGAGACATTTCACTCGTCAGCTGGCCCCTCTTCGCATCATGTTATTTAGGCGAGATCGGTGACGCAGCGCCTCAAAACTATGTCATGCCGTACATTTCATAGTCAGTTCCTCTCAAAGTCACTTCCCCTTGTTATTTCCTCTATAGTTAATACCGGGGACAGAGGGAAGAGCGAAGAGTCATCTCAGTTAATACGTCGGAAGTAGTGGTATGTGGTGAAGTTGATCAATAAATTTAATAAATTCATCAAATTTATGCTCCAAGGAAGGGGAAGGAGGAGGAGAAGAAGAAGAAAAAGAAGGAGAAGAAGAAGAGGAGGAGGAGAAGGAGGAGGACAGGAAGAGGAAAAAGGAGGAGGAGGAGAAGAAAAAGAAGAAGAAGAGGAGAAGGAGAAGAACAAGAACAAGAAGAAAATGACGAAGAAAAAGGAGTAGAAGTAGAAGAATAGAAAAGATTTTGTGTATTGTTCGCACTAATGCAATGAGATGTGGCCAGGAATAAGGAAAGGGGATGTGACCAAGACAGGCCAATAATTATACCGACCGAGAGGAAACAGGCAGTACGGCATGTTTTGAATTTTTCCTCAAAATCTTTACTAGAATTACTAGAATGTTCTAACTCCATCTTTCATGCGTGGGTGTGGGTATGATGTGATGGTAAAGAAAGAGATATCGTGTCAAAAACCCATTCAGACAAACCCCTTTGCTTAATTTACTATGAAAACAATACGGTGAATCATCGGTTGTGAGGAACAGACTATTAGTTGTATGGTGTGAAACTTTCACCGGATGCCTGACCCCAATCTGGCCTGAATCGAGGAGTGGTGCGTCTCTACTTTTTTTGTCTCCTGTGAAAGTAAAGTAAAGCCCCCCCCCCCCCCCCCCCCATTTTGAACTGCTTGTGAGCAGTATGCAGGTCCTACAGTGGGATTTGCAGCTGCTATGTCTTGCAAGAACAGGAAACCCGGGCTAGTGACTGTCCTTGTGCACAGAGACGTGAGGGCGGATTATAAGATAAGAGATAAGATAATACTTTATTATCTATCCCAGAGGGAAATTTTTCTTGACTGTACAGGACCGTAAAAACACATGCCGGTATACATAAAAAATAGAAATTATATATTACTCTCATCAAAATTCAATATGAAAAGAGAAGTAAAGCAGACAAAAAGTACTTTCACATCAGATACATCATCAATCAACCACGTGAGGGAATTTAATTACAAGACCTCTGGTATTAGCATTATACCCAACCTTTTTTACCCTTTTGTTTTCTGTTCCCTCAGACTGCGGAAGAAGAGTTGGAGTGCGAGGAGGACACGTTTGTGGCCAGCGCCCAGAGCCCCACCCAGCAGGAGCTGCTGCGCAAACACAAGAGCGAGCAACCCGTGTTTGTGGAGGGGCCGTACCCCGTGTACCTGCGCACCCACAGGCTGCAGTACTTCCTGCTCCGGGCCGAGCCCAACATCAACGCTCTCATGAAACAGATGCAACTTGAAAAGGAGGCAGAAAATGATGAAAGTATGAGCGCAGATTTTTTCACTCTTGAATTTTTAAAAATAATTCCTCTGATATAAGTAAACTGTGAAGTAGGTACCAGAAACTAAATGTTCAAAGTAGTTGTATGCCAAATTTATCAGTTCCATTTGAAAGGCCTATATCCACTGAGCATTTTGGTACCATTCTTTAACCTCTCAGTCAATTTTAAAGAAAATGGTAGTTGTTTAAAATTTGATCAAATTTGTTAAAGTCAGACACTGGCTGCAACCCCATGTTTGACAGACAATAAAAGAGTACCAAGAGCACTAAACATCTCCACATTAACAGAGTACAATCACTATAACAAATATATGGAGCCTAATTTTTTTCAAGACTGTGAGATCATTACAAATCAGTACTTTATCGCCTCAAACACGATGATATGTCGTTATTTCTGTAATGACACTGTCCAAAAAGTCCACCTGTCTGAGACAGCCACTTTTCTCCTCAACAATAGGTGAACGTCTTGGGCAGTTTTTACTGAATACATATATTCAAATGTCAGGTCTTAAAAGCTTCTAATTCTAAAACAGAATGTTTCTTTTCTTCTAGCTTTCCTTCAACAGACATGATTATTTCTCCTCTTTCAGACTTGTTCGAGTGGACCAACTTCTTTGAGGAGGAAGATTGTCGGGAGCTGCAGCCAGTGCTGAGCGTGCATGAGCAGGAAGACAGCACGGTTCTGGCCCTGGCCGTCACGGGCAGCTCCAGCAAGACCAGCCTGGTGTCCTGGGTGAGACTGCTGCAGAGGAGCAACCCGTCGCTGGCCAGGACGCCCGTGCTCTTCAAGCTCTTGTCTTCCGACAGAGAGTTAGAGGTCATAGGGGATAACAGAGCGTTTAAGGACTTTGATTCGTCTTAGAGGGAAGACTGATGTGTTTTGGGTATATATGTGTGTGATACAAGCGTTTAAAGACTTTGTGAGTGGTTGGCGGGAGCTCTGGTGTGGTTTGCTTCTTTTTTCTTATCAAACATCTTTCGTCCTTATCTATGCTCCTTCTTTTTTGTGTTTGTTACTCTCTTGTAACACTTCTAATCTTTGGCACTCATATGACCTTATTGTGTTGCAAGTGCAGTAAAACACTTACTAAAACTAAAAGAAGACTGTTTGATGTGTTTTTGGGTGTATGTATAAGAACAACTTCAACTAGCGTTGAAGGACTTTGATTCATCTTAATCTTAGAGGGAAGACTGTTTGATGTCTTGTGTGTATGTGTGCGGTTTGAGAACTACGACTGAACCTGCTCCAGTGACCACCTAGACTGTCCAAGACAACCACCTGTACAAACAACTTCTCACTTCCCCCCTTGCATTTTTTCTTTATTATGATTTTTATGACTCTGTCCAAGAGGACCGCCTGTCTGAGGTGACCACTTTTCTCCTCGACAATCCGTGGTCGTCTTAGACAGGTTCTACTGCATTTAGTTTTAATTCAGAAAAAGGCAATGATGACAGTGGGTCAGGCATACTCTCTGTAAAGACTTCAGAAATATTTGTTGAGTAAAATGATGAGACTTGGACTGACATGGGGTGTGTTCGAGGAGGAGGTCGAGGACAGTAAACAATAAATAAAAATAACAAATTTTACTTTTATATATATATATATATGTAGCATATTTCCACTGAGAAAATGTTTAATGCGCTTTATGATAAAACAAAGAACGTATAAACCGTATGGTTCCTTAAAGTACCCAATGGGGTTTACAATACAATAATACAAAGAACACATGCACCATGTGGTGAGATAGTGATATTTGGATGGATTGTTTTAGTAACCTTTGCTCCTTACGGGGTGGAGTAATGAAGGCTGATGATGTTTGTGTGTGTGTGTATGATATATATATGGTATGATAAGGATGACTGTGTTGAGGGGTAGACTTTGACAAATCGGTGTAATTTATTAACACTCGGCCATACTTTGCTAATGAGATTTGTGTACATACAGTACATCATGTGTGTCATGAGTACAAGGATGGTGATGTGTGTTTGTCTACTGCTGTCCTGTTTGACAATACCAGGACAAACGTTCTATGGCAGATGTCGCAATGAGCTTAAATTCTGTCATGAAATGTATATTGTGCATATAAAGTAGTTTATTGAAGATGTTTATTGATATACATCTGGAAAATATTATTTTGTGGATTGGGATGAACTTATGGGATTTTTTTTTTCATAACAGAACTCAGCTTATATATTGTCTGACATGTTCGTATCTGATAATTAATCCCATGAGTGTGAGGAGAAATTCAAAACTGACATTAAAATTTGTGCCCTGGAGATATATGAGTGGACTCCTATGTTCTTCATCTTTTTTTTTTTTCCGTCTTTTGATATGCTCTACCCCTTCAATTTCTACATTCTTTCTTCATCATCTCACAAATACTCACATAATGCTATATATATATATGAGTTCTTTCAGTCAGACCATGTGCACTAAAGCATGGGAATCATAACATTGAAAGCTTGGTTTTAGTTTGGGGTGGGTGGGGGGGGTGTCATGTATTTGTTATTGAATTGTGCCAGATGTCTTCGAGTTCTGTTTTAAATTTATAAGGATGCTGAACTTTTCGTCCGGTCAGGTGGATGTACAGTCCATGCCGGCTTTAAGCATGATCATAGGGAGAAAGCTTAAGCGTGCTTAAGTGCGAAGTAGACATAATCCAGAGATTTTCATGTAGAAAATTCCCCGTGCTATTTCCCTTTGTTTGTAACTAGGCCTATAGCGGTCGCGCAAAAGCGTGCACTGTTATTTAAACACCCGCCATGGTAGTTTTTGTTCGCTTGTTTGTTTTGGGAAATGAAAACTTAATTTAGACGGCCAGTCACGACACAGCACACTAGGCCTACTGTAACACACTGCCTGTGCGTACCACTGCCCGCTGTGCCACTCATACCACCGCCTTCATCCCACCTCGCGCGTGATACACAATCAGGATTAAGGATAGCGAGGGTCAAAGGTGAAATCGCAGCCAGCCTCCCTTTCTCGTCTCCCCGACTCTCTTTGTATTTTTTTTTTTGGTCGTGTGTAGCTTTGCCCTAGGCCTAGGCTAGATCTTATGTCCGCGCGCACTGTGCATCTCTCTGCCTTCCTCTCCACCCGTGTGAGTGTGTGTGTGTCCATCACTTGCGTTCTTTGTGTTTCTCTTGACACACTCCACTGCTGCGGTGCAAACTGAGTTCGAACTTCGATGGATGATCATGAAAATATTAACTGTCTTGTAAATGAAGCGTGCTTGAAGCCGAAGTTACCATGCTTAAAGGCGTGTAATTTATATAGCAAATATTCGGTAAGAGCCGTTTAGCGTGCTTGAGTCCGAAACGTGCTTAAGGCCGGCGTGCTTAAAGCCGGCAGACTGTACCAGGTAGCAACTCTCCTCAGAAAGAGCTTAGAGTCATTTATATATATATTTTATATATATATAATCTAAATTTTGCTGCATTAACTGCTGTATTGTTATCAGATACTTTCATATCTCATTAGTGCAGCATCGGCAGTCTACCAGTTAGGCAACCAGACTCGTAATCGTGAGATTGCAGGTTCTGGGATTCAAAGCTCAGCTCGGCCAGACACTGTGTCTTTGGTTAAGACTTTACATTAATTCTTTCCATTTTGCTCAGTCCTATCAGATTAATTGAAAGTTCCACCTCTTCAAAAATAAACTTAGGTGTTGCAAGGGGCATTAAACCGACACAATTTCACATTTTCCTATCTCATACATAAACCACTGGTTTAAGAAGTGTTTATTTTGGTTTTATGATTTTAATTCAGCGAGCCCCCACAGGGCAATGCCACTGACTGAAGTGTCTTTTGGCCGTTCCTAAAGGAAGGGGGGTGAGTATGAACATCTTCATATGCACAGTAAAATTGTAAATGGGCTGAATTATCAACAATGTCATGCTCAAGCTGTACTGGAACAACATAGGGGGAATTGCTCCTTTTTTTTCCCTCATCCTTACTATTACAGTAATACTGTCGTCATTTTCCTCTACTTCTTTTGTATGTTTGTCACTCTCTTGTAAACTGCTATTTCCGTGGTGCCTTGATAGTCAAAGCAGACTGTGCTGTTAAGGCTAGAAAGGTGAGTAGAGTAAGCCTGAGTCCCTGTTTGGACTTTTCAGTTGACATTCACCCCTTGGCGCTCATATGACCTTATGCAGTTGTGAGCACTGTAAAACCTTACTAAAACTAATTCAACAAGTACCTTCTTTCACAAATGCCACCTACAGTCTAGTAGTAGTTGCTGCATGTGGCCAGCAGCTCCTGATTCTATCAATCAATGCTATGTTCATCAACACTGGACTTAAAACAACTCCCTTATATGCTCTTGGCACACAGGCTAATTGTGGGTGGTGTGGTTTGCTCCTTCTTTCCTATCAAACATCTATCTATCGTCCTTATCTCCCCTCCTTCTTTTTTATGTTTGTTACTCTCTTGTAACACATAATCTATTCTTCGGCACTTATATGACCTTATTGTGTTGCAAGTGCCGTAAAACTCTAACTAAAACTTTTTTAAAAACAGGCTCAGTCAGACAAAAGAAACAACCAGAATAATTCTGCTGGGAAGACCAACTTGTGAGTTTATTGAGGGATGCATACATGGACAAGTCGGAGGAGAGATACATACAAATACAACAAGGGGTTCATGTCACGACCCTCTCGAACCAACAAACGACTGATAAATAAACATTGAATTTCGTATACAGTGGCTGTGGTTGAGATGCCAAGTGGAAGACTGTACAAACAGCAGCAAGTCATGGGGGGAAACGGTCATTACATTACAAACATGCACAACAAACACACAAATACATAGTCTACACACATTTTCTGATACCGTACATGTATACGTTTATATATATTATATATATATACACACACGCAAATGCATCAACAAAGTTCACCGTGTAGCCTACACAGTCATATTATGAGCATCAACAAACTGCTTGTATTTTAGCAGCACACAAATACCCGCCACTGTCACAGAACAGTGTCACAATTTATCTAAGACTTTTTTTTTTAAACATGTGTGCCTACTCTATAACAATAACGCAACAATTATTCATTTCATTATACAATCAGATTCGGAGACAGATAACATGAACATATAATGGAAAATTCAAAACCATGGATAGCTTGTAGGCTACACTTTGCACCAACTAATATCTCTTAAATATTTCGTTAAATCGGTTTACCCGAATTATGGATGTGGATATTATAAATATATGTCAATCTCCAATGTGTTTGAGTTATCCATGCTCGACTGTACATTGTGTATATGTATTAAATTAATTAACACCTGAGATACTGCAGTGTTGAAAAAAACCAGGAACAGACAATCGTTATAACAGTGCTAGATCCTATCTTTTGAAATTTTTACATCAAAAACCTTATAACAAATCTTTTTCAGGAAGTTCCACAAAATAAAAACTTTGGAAATGACCATACGACAACTATGAAATTTAGTTCCAGGAACAAAACTGATAAAGAAAAACCATCATTATTTGTGCACAAGCCCTTTATTATTTAAGCCCTCCTTCATCATCCACACTGATCAGGAGTTTCCATTGTATCCCAAAAACAGTGACAACTAACACAAGAGGTATTAGAGTGCTGCCACAAAAAGCCCAGTACAACTGAACTATCATTCACAAGAATTTTTCAATAGAAGCGACACAACATTACCATAGCATCATTTATCCATCACTTTCTTTCGAGACAAAACATTCGGCCAGAAAAGAAGCAGCTAAATTCACTAACAGAAGTTCACACCCTAATCAGCCGCTGAGGTCGATTGGAAAATTTAAGCTTCCCATTACTTGAGACCCACTTCAATAATCGGGAAGAAAGTGCAAGCACAGCATCTGTCATATCTTTCAACTAAACACGGGCAGTACTGCATACAGACATATCTCAAAAGTTGCCCAGAATGACTTACGTCAGTATGCAGTACTGCCCGCGTAAAATAAACAGCACATACAAAGTAATTTTTTTTTAAAGTTA